AGGCTCTGTCCCCAGCGATGCTCTGTCCTAACTGCTATTTGAGGAAAGAGGCAGAGAACTTTGTCCTACTTGCTGCAGAGCCAGGCTTCATGGTCTCTGCTGCCACCAGGTGGTCACGCTCCCTCCCGAGGAGCAGGTCTCAGTTGCAAATGGGAACCAGACGCTGGCCTATAATCTTCAGGAACAAGTCAGGGCTTGTTAACGTGGTCACAGGCTCTCCTCTGGCCCGGGCAGTCACCCCAACTTGGTTTCTTTTCGGTTCCCCCCATGTCCAGCCCTCCCTCGGCCCCATGTTGGAAGACTGTTCCTCAGTGTCGATTTTCCCTGTCTGGATGTGCAACTCACTACACTTCCTCAGATATGTTGTCCTTTGATTTTTTTCCAACAATCTTACGGTAGCTGGTATAATATTTCAATCTGAAATGTCACAGAGGACGCTTAAAGAAACCAAGCAACTTGCCCAAGGTCAAAAAATTAAGAAATGACAAAGCGCCACAGATTTCCTGCCTTCGGTCTAGAACTCCTTGGAGCAGTTACCTTCTTTTTTAAAAAATTACATCATTAAAAAAAGGAACGTATGCTCATTGTAAGAACTAATAAGTGATATAAAACTATTGTTTCAATTCAGTTCAATCCAGAGAATCTTTAGACGCTGATCACGTCAGCCCTAAACAAGATGAAGAGGTTCCCTGTGCTCCTGGCAGTCCGTCTACCAGGGAGTTCATACCAGTGGGATCTAATTTCATCGGAAGGGTCAGGGAAAGCCTCTCGAAAGAACAGAATATAATAAACACCATCCATAACCTCACTGGCTAGAAACAGAGGCTGGTGATCTGAATTATTTTCTTCTAATCGTTTACCATGTACTTTCTGCAAATTCTTCCTATGGAAGCCAGGGCACCGTTCTGTGGATGCCCCTTCTCTGTAAGACGCTAACCCTTCTATTCTAGACCCATCCCTCAGTGTGTTTTCTGGAATATTGCTCACGTATGATATTAATATATGGTACTGAAAAAGGGGTCCATGACCAGAACCAGCTTAGAAATCATTGGGTTAAATAAGATTTTTAACGACAGGATTCTCAGAACTCCCAATATGCTAATGAGCACTGACCATCTCTAACAGGGGGTTATGGTATTAATGGCCTCATTTCCTAAATTAATTGGATTTTTTTTAACTGTCAAGAGGCATCTTGAAGGAAGATACTTTGGGAAATGATCTGTGACCCCGGACACACTCAGGGGATGTATAGCCTTATCAGAGTCCCTCTGCTTTAGGGTGTGAAACAGCTGTGTGTGAGGTGTACATAGCACACCGCAGGCAAGCAGGTGGAACACTCCAGATTGGCCCAGAACCTTCCCAGTTATCAGAGCCCCGCTGCGGGCTCCTGGCCATGTTCAGGGCAGGGGAACATGTGGCTTCCTCCCAGAGTCAGCACTGTCCTTCCACAGTGGACGGATGCCCTTTGTGATCCTCCTCAGAAGGTGCCTGTGCCTCCTGAGCTCCTGGCAGCCCCTTCACGCTCTCACGGCTGCTTCCCCAGAGCAGCATCTCCCATCCTTCCCGCACACGGGCTTCCTACCCTGTAGCCACACTGAACACGGTCCTCCACGCCTAGCCGACTCATCCTTAAGGGTCCAGCTCACATAACAGCTGGGAATACCTAGCACTAATCAGGTACTTACTATTAACCAGGCACCTGTCTGTTTACATGTACTTTCATTTTATCTTTGCAACCACCTTATGAAGTACATACTAGTTTTAGGCCCATTGTTTGGGTGTGTAGAAACTAAGGCACAGAGTTTAAGCTAACTTGCTAAGGCTACACAGCTAACAAGTGGCAGGGCCAGAATCCAAGCGCACATCACGCTCTTGGACCCCACGCTGTATAGCCGGCTCAAGGCTCCCTCCTTGGAGAAACCTTTTTGATCTCCTTATGTATTCCCTGGGTTACACCATCACAGGGTATAAAATGACTGTAGCATTCACCACTTTGCAGCCTTCAGCTTTGGGGTCCCCGCACACACTGTGCTGGAAGGAAGCTTAGGCCAGCCAGTGTCTACGGCAGACCTTGGTCACCTCTGGGGCAGTCACTGGCTCATTCACAGGCCAGAGACTGGAGGCCGTAGAGTCAGAGAGCTGCCAGGTGGTTTCAACAGAAATTCCTGTCATACTCAATTAAAATTTGCCAGCCAGAAATATGTAAACAAAAGTGGAAGCTTATCGAAACCCACATTCCACCTGTTTCACATTCGGTGGAGCAGGTTGTACTGATGTTCTTTTAACAAGTTCTTGTTTTGCCTCCAAATGAGTGAAGCGGGTAGAAGAGCAAAGTTCATCCTGGTTTGAGCGAAGCCCGGGTCTGTGCACTGACGCGGCGGCTCCCTGGGCCTGGGGGCGCGTCGCTCCCCTCCCGTCTTCTCAGAGCCCCTGTCTCCACCACCACGCCTGCCTGTCCACTCACGCTGAACTGGAAGACCTCCCGGGAGTGACGCCAACAGGCCCCTTTCAGGCCTTGTCTGTCTGGCGTCTGGGAAGGCTGGGTGCCGCTGGCCTGGCCGGGTGGGCCCGAGGGCCCAGGGGCTCCACCAGCGCATCTCCCACCGTTTGGCCCCAAGGTAATGACCATAGGCTATTATACAGGATGGTTTTTGCTCAGTTTGTTTCCTGACTGTAGGGCCAAATACTAAGCTTCCCGGTACAAAACAGTATCTTGGCACTGTCGGCTGAACCTACCGCCTCCTTCCCTGAGCATGGGGGACCCTGACAGCAGACCTGGTCCCGCAGTGTGTCTGGGGAGGTGGGGTTCAGAGGGGACTGAGATGGACACGCCTGGGTGGGGAATGGGGATGGGAAATCCCACCCTTGGGTGGAGCTAGCGTAGGACTCCGTGCGTGCTTTATACGTATATGCTGTAGACGTGCATAGTGTTTGCAAATATATACTTTAGGACAGACTCCTAATTCAGACCGAAATCCCGCCCGGATTCAATTTGCAGTTGATCACCGCCACATGCTCTCCCAAGGAGCTGAGTCACGGGGAATGAGGAGGGCAGGTGGGCATTTATTTGTGCTTCCACTACTTGCTTCACCTGAAACACTTTCCTTTCTCACAACCGCTGAGGTGGGTGTTATCAGGAGAAAATGGAGCTTCAGGGGATGATCTGGGATATCACAGGGCCACTGCGGGGTGGGGCAGAGGGCAGCCTTCCGGGGGACCTGATTGGTCAGCCCACCTGGCAACCCCAGGCAATCAGCTGGCCTGGCGTGGGGCCGCCTTCCCGCTGCCCGGTTACCTGGGGGAGCGGGCCGCTCGCGGTGCAGGATGTCGTAGCTCTTCCAGTTGTATTGAGGGGCCGGGGAGCCCTCCTCTGACTGGCAGATCAGCTGGATGTCGTTCCCAATCACCGTGTCCCCCTCGATGCGGCAGTCTGGTTTGGAGGGTGGCACTGTGTAGGAAAGACAGCAAACACCAGGCATGAACCAGGTGGGGCCGGTGATGACCTACCTCTCATCCCGAGCGCGCACGCATCCTGCCTTTATTCATGGGAGTTCACAGCCCAGCGGCGAGAACGCTGGAAGATGAGTCCACCCTGAAGTATCCTCTCGGGGGCCTGTCACCGTCCCGGAGAAGGGGCCTGCACAGTGGGAAGCATCCTGAAAGCCGGTTCCGAGTCGTTGCCATTATAAACGATGGGGGTACTGAGGCCCAGAGAGGAGACTTGGCCAGGGTCCTGGCAGAGCTGCGGCCTAACCCGCCCCGTGGCTGTGACAGGTCCAGGGTTCCTCTCCGCCCACTGGCGCTCCCTCTGACAGACACTCATCTGCCCGGTTTTAGGGTAATCCTTCGGTCCCTCAGTGTCCCCACCTGTAAGGTGAGGGGACAGCAGGCTCCTTCTGGGAAGGACCACAGGGTAACAGACTTCTGGGGCCGCGTTATGGTCTGTCACTGCGCTGCTTTTGTTTTGACACTTTAGAAACGTAAGATCTTTCTTGGCATGGGGCCATATACCCACAGGCTGCAGGGTGGATTTGCCAGGGTTTGCCTGCCCCGGGGTTCAGCGAAGCCCCATTTTCTAAAGAGCCTGCGTCCAGCTTCTTAGGAGCGTCCCCTTTAGTGTATCCACTTCCTGTGCTGTGTGTATAGGATGCGGTTGCCCTGAGCGACTGGGTGACGGGAGAGACCCCAGGCAGCATCAAGGTTTCCCACCGGGTGGGAATGAGGACCGAAGGGATGGGAGGGGACGGGGCAGGGATAAGGAAAGGCAAGCCCACAGAAAGGGGGTCCAAAATTGAACAGGGCCCCCCTCAAATCACAGTGGGGCCTGGTGACGGCTGAACCTGATCCCCCAGAATTCCTGAGGACTTTCCCTGGGCACTGTTAACATAGCACCGTGTACAGTGGTACACTATGCATGTTCCTGGGTACCTACTGCATGCCTGACACTGTTGAGTACTGGGATGACACGCTGAGTCCCTGTGTTCAAGGAGTCAAAGGGCAAGTCTCTGGACAGGCAGGGGGCAAGGCTGCTAGGACCGGGTGGGAGGGGGCACGAGCAGGGGACCCTGACCCCGTACAGCCTGGGCTGTGACCTGAGGAACAGTGAGCGTGAATGAGACGGATAATGGAGGTGGCGGTGGTCAAAGAAAGAGAGGTGAGGGCACTACAGGCAAAGGGAACGGCATGTGCAGAGGCTCTGAGGCAAAGTGGAGCTCAAGGGCGTATGCCTGAGGCTTCAGGCAGCGTCCTCCGGAGTGAGAAGGGGGAGGGCACACAGTGTGAATCCCCCGGGGCGGGCCTGTCCCCTCCAGGTCTTCCTTATATGCCCCTTGGATGGTCTACTGGTCCCAGCAAATCGTGCTGCGCATTCCACAATCCCACCTGCACAGGAGCATGGCCCCCGACATGGCCCCGGAGCACGGAGGGGCATCTCCAGTCTCTGCCTGCACCCAGCCTCGCTGGGGGGAGGCTATCTGGGATGCACCACTTCCCTCTGGCCCAGCAGCCAGCAGTATTTCCCCTTGGAAAAGACGGGTGTTGGTGGGTGTGCCCTGCAATCCCCCCTGTTTTATGGAGGGCCAGCCAGGTGTGGGTTAGCACAGGGCAAAGTAGAGTCATTCCCCACAGCCACCCCCAGTTGGACAATCCCTGACCCTAAGAGGCCCAGGGTGCAAAGGCGGGCGTCATCTACCCAGGCCAGGACTGAAGCAGCCTTGGTGGGGAGAGGCTGCTGCTTGTGGCCATCCTGCTGGCCAGGGAAAGCAGGTGCCTGGCGGTCAAGGGGAGTGGTACCCCCTTCTGGATCAGGGCTGCTGACCCAAGCCTTATCTCTTGAGCTCTCCAGAGGGAACGCCCCTCTCCACCCCTCAAAACTGTCACCCTTGTTTCCCAGAAGGCTAAGCCTTTACTCCAGTGAGAGGGCCGGCCTGACGTATCATACCACCCAGGAGCCTCGGGCAGCCCGGAGTCCTAAGTGTGCGAGCCTGCAGGCGGCCTTGCGCGGACCAGGTTTCCTCGAGATGCAGGACAGAGCGGGAAGGGCCGGCGCCAGTGAGCGTCAGAGGCCGGACAGGTCCGAAGGCGGGCTTTGCCTCCACACCCTTTGCGAAGGGGACTTGATTCAAAGCAAACCGGTAATTCCCTCGGGAGGGGGCAGTAGGGACAACGCAAACAAGGGACCGACCGCCAGCGGCCCGGCCTTGGGAGGAAGGCCAGCTTCTTTGTCCCCGCGCCCTGAGCCTCGGGGCCCAGCGGCCTCCCGCCCCGCTCGGTCCCCACGCGCCCAGAGCCCCGGCAGGCAGCTGGGCGCGGCCAGCCCTCCGCCACCGCGGGGAGGCCCGCGCACCCGGTGGTCCGGCTTCCCAGCCTGCTGGTCCCACCGGCCCCGAGGCCACCCGCGCCTTCGCCGGGGGCGGAGCCAGGGGCGGGGCGGGGCGCCTGGTCCCGCCCCTGCCTCCCAGAGCCACGGCGCCGCCGCAGACGCAAGGGGGCGCTAGAGGCCCGTGTCCGCGCGTGTCCGCCCGGCGCGGGGTCCCGGCAGGTGGCCGCGCGTGTGACCCACGGCGCGCGGTCCGCCTCTGCCCAGAAACTCCCCGCTCGCCTCAGTTCACTGTGAGGTCGCCCGGCCCAGTAGGCAGCCCCGCGTGATTAAAAACCTGCCTAAAAACAGCCCAGCAGCAAAGCCATTCAGAAAACTTTTTTCAGAAGGATATTTACTGGATTTCGTAACACACAGTACAAAATGACCTTCTCCTGTCCCTCCCCGCCGCGCTCCGTCTCCCACCATCTCTTAAGGCAAGACATCAGTTTCACCAAATTCCATAATCTCAGATTACATTTGTATCCTTTACCTTCCCAGTTTTAACTAGTTCATCTCTTAAAATGCAGCTGGCCTGGAAGGGGAGGGGAAATCAGACATTCACTCCTAACTGGGGGGTCCTGCTGCCTTTCCCCCAACCAGCTTGTCGCCAGAAGGAAGTGGGAACCACAGAAGGGAAGCCATAAAGAGACAAATTTCCCCAGAAAAGGACCAGGTCCAGGGAAACAAAGCGGGCGGTCAAGCAGGACAACGGGAGGCAGGGCAGTATAGAAGAGAAACAAGATGAAATGCTCACGCTCTGGCTTCGTAATATCGCTCCAAGGAGCTAATGCAAATAAAAAGAGCCACGTACACAAAACGATTGGTTGCAACACTCAGGACATAGCCTGAGTGTCCAGTCCAGGGGCAGCGGACTCCACGTGCATGGGCTGGGATGGCACGGAGTTTAGAGAACAGCAAGTTCTCAGACAGCAGGAAGGGTGATGTGGTGTGGAATGGATGGACAGAGAAAGTCCTGACCCGTTCCACTACCAATTCAGTTATGCACATTAATAAGCCCGTGGATTGGAGCTGCTGGAAGAAAACATGGAGAAATATAAAACAGTATGGGCGAATGTTTCTCTTTTTTAGTTTCCTTTTTTTTAAATGACAACTTTAAAGAAGCAAAGGATTACCAAACACAGCTATTTGTTTCTTTGTGCGTGGACTAAGGTTGCCGCGGTGGGAGGATGGGAGAGCGGAGCAGAAATGGACTCCATGCTAACAGCCTTGCACTGCATGGTAGGCCTTGACCTGAGAAGCACTCTGCAGACAGGCAGGCCCTGGATCAGTGGAGCCGGTAGGTAGGAAACACATCCCGGCACTCCACCTAGAAGGCAGGGCAACTGAAACGCCTGTAAAAATTCTGGATGAAGTGTGATGGACTTCATGGACTGCCTTGTCCGTGAGATAGAGGGGTGGACATGTTCCTAAAGCTCTGAAACCATCAGCATCCCCAGGGAAGCCCAGCAACAAGTGTCCACTCACTCATAGGGCAGCGGGGGGTGTCTCCTAAGACCCGACAGAATCTTGGTCTATAAATGAATGAGTGATGTGTCCCAGGGGCAGGAATTCTGTGGACAAATGAGGGCGAATGGGCCCATCAGGGCTGGCACCGTTCTACGCTCCAAACTTCTCTCGTTGGCTTAGGCCTAAGGAACGGTGAAACACAAATTCACCCCTGGCTACATAAAGCAATTGGCAAGCCTGTGCCTGCTGCAGAGCGCGAGAGGGCACAGTGAAAGGCTAAGCAAATCTGGAAGGTTGGGGATCGTCCCAAACTGGCATGATTGTTGGTTGGGAATGGCAGGTTTCCGTGGTGGAGCGGCCACAGGCTTGGATTCGGGCAGCCCTGCGTCCATGGAAGCCTGGACACTTCCTGGTGATCATTTACCCTCTCGGGCCTCAGTGTTCACTTCTATTAAACACTAGTGTGTGTGCTGGCTTTCACAGGTGGATGGCAGAGGTCAGACAAGATCATCTCTGCAAAGCATTGAATGAGACCCTGGCACACAGCAGGCCCTAATAAATGGTAGTTATTAGGACTATGAATTTGGTGGGACCTGTGACAACTCTCACACAGGCAAAGGTCACTGCAAGATCACGGCAGTTTCCTTTCATTGAAGACAGACCCCCTGGGGTCACAGAGCTGGGGACACAGACTGGAGATCTGGCTGTGTGGGGTGGGGGCAGTTTGGGAAGGGGGTTCCCTGCCCTGCTCTGTACAACTAAATACATGTAAAACTCCTTATTTGTTCACAGGAGGCTTGGAATACTACCATGAAAGATTCCTCGTTATTGAAGCTCATAACATCTCTTGAAGGAACACACACCATGTTCCCAGGTGAGGGGATTTAATATTGTTAAATGTTATTCCTTTACAAATTAATAGGCAAATCAAATACAATTCCAGTCAACTTCTTTTTAAGTAAGCAAAATGATTTAAAAATTAATATGGGAGAATAAATGCGTAAAAATTGACAAAAATTTTTGGAAAAGTTTAGTAACAAGATGTTACACAGCACAGATATTAATAGCCAACTGTATACTCTAAGGAAAAAAAGAAGATATCAACACTGACTGTAAACACACTACAATGAAAACCACGTGCTATTGGCATAGGAATAATCAAAAGAAAAATGAATAAAATAAGGAGCAAACAACCAGCCTGTATATGTAAGGACTTGTTATGTGACAAAAGTGGCATTCCAGCCGAACGGTAATTATTTCTGTAGTGAATACACGATGCTGATGGAACTGGCTATCCATTTGGAAGGAAACAAAGTTAGACTCTTAGCATCTTACATACAAAAATGTATGTAAGACAAAAATTCCAGATGGAATAAGGGCCTAAGGGTAAAAAAACAAGACTGACAGATGTAAGAGAAGACTGTTTAGTTCATTTTTATAACCCAGAAAGTGGTGGTGACACCTTGAACAAGTCAAGAGACCCAACCACCATAACAAGATGACAGGCTGCAGACTGGGACTTTTCCTGTCTCGGGATTCCCACCCAGGCCTCCAGGCTGAGGGCTCTAGATGGCAGCCATCCTCTGTACCCAGGGAGGCAGGAGAAACGTCCCAGCGGCCTCCATGAGAACAGAGCTCAGACTGTCAGTTGCCCCCTCCTGCCCAGCTGAGAAGGCTGGGGGGGATTTCTCTGCGGGGGGTTCTCGGGAATAGGGATCTGTGAGCATTTCTCCTCCTTCCCTGGGGGACGGGAATTTCCCCATGTCAGGCCAAGCCAGGGAGACGCCAAGTGAATCCCACAGGAGAGGGGGGGCTGGCACCTCTCACTCTCTGGCTGAGGCTCGCTGAGTGACAGAAGCCTGTGCTGTTCCTGGACGGTGATGACGGAAGGGCTTTACAGATGTCCCTGGGAGTCTGGGGGCCCCCGAGGGGCAGACTCTGCTGCCTGCCCATTGCCCAGAGCAGCTAGCTGGAGGAGGCCGGGTGGCAGGGTGGCGACAAGAAGCAGCTGAGACAAGGATGGGGACTAGCAGGCGCAGGGGTTAACGGGGTAAGGATGGGACTGATTCTGTCACGCTGAAGGGACTCTGTCCCGGGTAACTGCTGCTGGGCCAAGGGGAGCCCTAGTGGGGGACGGAGAGTCCAGCCAGGGCCGCACACACTGCCTGTGTCAGGGGAGGCCCCTGGGAACTTCTGAAGCCCCCATTCATGCACCCCACAAAAGGACCTGTGGTAGGATGTCTGCGCTGCCTGAGATTATAGGGAAGCCGCAGGGACACTGAGCAGCCGGGCTCAGGGACCAGGCCTTTTCTGTTCTCCTTTAACCCTCCCTCCCTTGGCCATGACCTCGGAGGAGCCAGGCATGGGGCTGGGATGGGGTGCACTGAGGAGCTGAGGGAACAAACCCACTGCCTGTCCCCAAGCTTCAGGGGGTCAGGCCCAAGTGAGGAGTGAGGGGGTGAAGCTTCGAAGATGTTCAAGTTTGGTATAGATTGAACTGAGTTTTTTCCCCCCGACAAATTAACAAAAGTTACAGAAATTAAAAAGATTGCTAACATTCAGTGCTTATAAGGATATGGGCAGACAGGCGTGCTCATATGATGCTCACGGACGTGTAGGCTGCTTTGGGGAACGTAATTCGCTGTTATAAATTAGCATTTAGCAAAGGCAGCCTGTGGCCTAGAAATCTTATTTTTAAGAACCTATCCTGCAGAAATAAAGACAGCACGGTAAAAGAAGAGGCATATGGACATTAGTCCGATTCATCAAAAGTGGGAGCAGCCTGAGGATGTCCTCAGGAAGGAGCGCTTGCGTGAATCGTCTGTCCATGCGTGGAACAGAGGCTGTTAACCATAGATCCGTAGGACCTGATCAGGGGACGTGTGCGTGAGACATTAAGGAAAAGAGAGTCCCAGAGTGATCTTTATAATATGATGTCCTCTTTTTCAAGGAAAGGAAAGAAAGGGAAAGGAAAAGTGCATGTGTGTTGGGAGGAAGTGCGGAGAAGCGGGGAGGGGTGTGCGTCAGTATCGCGCTGGCCGCCTCGGGGTCGGGATGGGGAGGGGATGGCTCCTTATTCCTTATTCGGGCTCTGTTATTGACCCACCACAGTGCTTTCAAAAAGCCAGGCGGCCATTGTATGCAATTAAAAATAAAATGCTACTATGTAGTGTAAAGGGGAAATAAAGGGAAAATGATCATTGTTTGGTTTAAAGTGTTGCCCCCTGGCAGGGTGGGGCCACTTCTTCCGGACTCGGGGGAGGCTCAGACTGTCTTTCCCATATCTGACTTCGCATCAGGTGGCCCCTTACGCTGGGCCTCAGCTACAAAATGAAGATACTCGTCGATGGTTGTTCAGATCCTCCCCAAACTAAAAGCTCCAATAACAGGTTATGTGTATGAAAAGAATGTTATCCTGGGACACACTTCAGAGGCAGTGGGCCCTGACGAGTGTGTGTTCCTGGGGGCTGGGGTGGGGATAGTGGGGTGAAGGGCTTCTGCAGCCCAGCTGGTGGGCGACGGCGAAGGATGCGCTCGCGAGGAGGGGCTTGGTGCTCAGCATCAAAGTTCGGCACCCTGAGAGTCGTCCCCGTGGCCTTGAGGATTTCCCTTTCTCTCCTCTTTATAAGTTAGGTGTGCAAACGGGGAGAGTAGGCGTGGGGAAGGAGCCCGGGCTGCGCGTGGGCAGTTTCCCAGGCGCACCCCAGGATCACTGCAGATCGGCCTTGCCCTCTGCCCTGGGGAGCGTCTGCCTATCAGGGAGAACTCAAGCCATCTTTGGTTACCAGGGAAGGGGCAGTCCTACTACCCTGGGTCAGGCTGGCCGGGCACGGCCCAGCTCAGGGTTAGGCACCCTGCCTCTGGCTTGCTTCATCTGCCTGCCAGGGCGCCAGCAAATCTCCCTGGCCCAGTCTCCTCCCGCCTCCCAGGGCACGGACACAGCCACTCACCGAGGACCAGGAGGCGGACGCGTGACTTGGTGGTGCCGTCCAGGTCCGCCAGCAGGGAGACCGTGCATTCGTAGGTGCCATTGTCATCCATGGTCAGCTGGCTGATGGTGATGGAGGCGTCCGACTGCTCGGCGCTGTCCGATATGCTGACCCGGTTCTTGTAAAGGTTCCCGTAGATGTACTCCTTGTGCTGAAAGGTCCAGGTGAGCACCTTCTCCTGGGAGGAGGAAGAAATGCCACTTGCTCTCTACCCTGGTGTGGTGCTGTGCTCACCCACCCTTCCCAGGCCCAGAAGCGCTGACACACCAGCCCCTCAGAACAGTCAGCCTGTGGGGCCCTCTTATAATGTGTCTGTATCACTAATGAAAATACCGGCTGCCTAGCACAGGCAGGCAGTTCACAGCAGATGCACGTGTGGATGAAAGGGGGCTTTCTCAGACCCCAGCACTTGCGCCTCTTGTTACTTCAGGCATCTGTCTTACCCATTCCAGCCCACATCGATCCTTGTCCATCAGTCACCAGTGTTCATTATGGACCTACTATGTGCCAGGCATTGTGCTAGCAGTCACCCTTGGCTCCCAAGCCCACATAATTTATTTAACTCTCATCTTTGGAATTGATTATTCATCAATATACTCATTATTTATCAGACAGAACATGGTTAAGATCACTACTTTGGAGCCAGACTGACTCAGTTCAAATCCCAGTCCTGCCACTTGCTAGTTATATGGCCTTGAGCAAAATGCTTGACTGTCTGTGCCTCTGTTTGCTCTTCTGTAAAATGGAGATAAAACATAGTAACCCCAATGTCATAGGATTTTTGTGCGAGGGTTTAAGTATATAATACATGCAGAACAGTTGAGGCATTAGCCAGCATGGGAGGTTTCCCAGCACTGTTACGCTCAGCGCCTAACATTCCAAGATGAGTAGCTCACAATCTTCTCCCCAAGGAGAAACCTAGTGATAGGCAGCCCGATATTCCAGCAGCTTATGATTCGCTACGGGACCTCGGAAGACAGTCTGGGGACATAGTGTTGGGTCTGAGACCTGCGTATGCCCAAATCAGAAAAGGCACTCTAATCTGGAGGGAAACAGCCTGTGCCAGGGCAGGCAAGTTGGCTAATGGGGTGCAGGCCCCCTGGGCTGGATACACTTGTGCAGAGTTACACATGCTGGGTATGCATGGTAGGAACAGATATCTCAGGAAGCTTGGCTGAGTGCAACAAGGTGGGAGGTGAGGCACCTTGGGCTGTGGACCAGCCACAGAGGCTGGCCTTTCCCAGCTCAGCTCTTCTGTGACCTGCTGGCTCCACCTTGACCTTTCCTCCTAATCATGGTTATCCCAAGGCTTCTTCCCCGGGTCTCCCCCTGGGCACCCCCTCTTGCTGGGACCTGTCACAACAGTCTCCTTGAGGGCACAGATCTAATCCCTCTGCACCCCTGCCTGACCCTGAGGGGGTTGCCTCAAATCCTTTGGGAGTGAGCGATCCATCAGTCAACAAAGAACCCTAAGGACTTGTCTCAACACTCAGAGGAGGGTGAGACTGTACATCTTGTTTGCAGGACACACGTGATGGCGAAAGTTGTCCTTCTAGGATGGGCAGATGTTAGATCTATCCAGAGGTTAGGATGTTAGATGGCTCGTGTTTGCCAGCTGATGGCAGCAGCTTCCCTGTCTAGGCTTTCACCCTGAGAATCTGGAAACAGACAGGACGCATGCCCTCGACCCTTGGAGCCCTTTGGGCGACAGACAACTGGGTGTGTCAGGCCAAGATTTATTTCCCTTTCCCATCGGCCCTCCTGCCCTAGGACTTGGGTGCTGGGCCACCCTTTCTTCCTTGTCAGGAGAAAAGCTGCATGGTTTCACTGCGAGGGTTCGGGGACCTAACGCTTGCTTACCTCGGCCAGGCATGTCTGCATTCTAAAAGTGGACCTCCCTTTTAAACTTATGAATAGATGCTCCACTTACAACTACAGAAATGGGAATCTGTATTGTATATCTATAATGACAGACTTCTTTCACCTGTGAAATTGTCAAGTGTCAGTTTGAGAATGCTCTGTGTTGAAGAAACAGGAGCCTTTGTTCTTATTAGTGGAAGTTGAGATTGGCATGACATCTAATGAGAGCAATTTGGCTATTATTTATCAAAATTTTAAAGTCACATCCTTTGACCCAGAAGTTGCATTTTATTAATAATTTATTATATACATATATATATATATATACACACACACACATATGTATCTCCAGAGACATGCATATGAAGATACTATATATATGCTTATAACGATGTGCATATATGAAGGAGTATTTGTAGCAGGAAAATATAAGAAACAAATCAAATGTCCATCATTGGTGCATACAGTATATTCATAAAATGGAATACTTAGTGCAAATGTTAAAGAGGAATGAAATGTATATAAATGTCCTGACATGAGGAAAGATCTCCACGATATGTATTGGTAAAAGAAAAAGCCGAGTACAGAGCAGTGTATATGTGGTACATGTAAACATACATATTCATGCACACATACGTACACACATATACATATATATCTGTATATACGTGGAGTTCTATAGAAGGCCCCCCAAAAAGCTGCTCAGAGTGACTGCCTTTGGTGAGGGGAATAAGGGACTGGCAGTCTCTGTGGGTCTTTGTGTGGTTAAATCTTTAGTCATGTGCATACGTATGGCACAAACGAGCCTGTCAGCAAACAGGCGCTCCTGTATTCTGCTAGGAGCAAAAAATGCCCCCCAGAAGGCATTTGCTAATGTCTATGAGAATTATAGAGGCATTTACCATTCCTGGAAGTGGATTTCCCAGGTGTACCTGTCCACACACACAGTGGCACAGGTAAAGGGCTGTCCCTGGGAGGACTGGGAATAAGCACGTGTCTGTAGTCAGGGGGCTGGTTAGGTAGTAAGAGTACCCACACAATGGACTCCTGAGTGGCTCCAAGAATGGGGTGCCCTCTACTAACTGGTAGGAAAGCTCTGCAGGAACTACTGGTTTGTGAAACTGCAAAGGGCAGAACAGTGCCTGGAATATGCTTGCTACCTTCTCTGTACAGAAGGGGAAAATGGAGCACGCACACACACGTGAGATAGATTCACATTTTCTGGACTTTGCATAAAGAGTCACTGGGAGGGTACCCCAGAAACTCAACCAATTCTCTTAGCTGAGAGTGAGAGTCAAAATACTTAACAATCATAGCGGATGCCAGCCGGCCCCAGACAGCCAGGACCGGTGAAAATCAGCCCTGCCTGGGGGCAGAGGGGTGAGGTGGGACAGGAGGGCATGGATGGGAATGAGACTTCTCAACACTCACTTTTCATACGGTTTTACTACTTTAACCATGGAATTACATTATATATTCTAAAATATAAATAAAAACAAAACACCCCAAAAGAACCCAAGCAGGAAAAGAAATCCAAAACATTATAAAATAGAAGGTGGCCTCAGGGAGAGCTTTATACTAATCCAAAGAAACCTGAGCCTGGCCAGTAGAAAGATATTGTAGGGAAGGTGACTTCTTCAAAATAAAGATGGCATAATACGGCCTCCCCTGGGCCCGACCCTCCCGGCCCAGCCTGCATGGTGCCTGCTCCCCAGGAGGTCGGGGTCAGGCGGTACTCATTCCCACGGGACCCCCAACTTCCTAAGGATGCTTACCGAATGGCTCCTCAGAAGCTTGTCCCAGTGGATGAATCCTTCTCGGTTGGGGGAGGAGGTTTGATAGGTGCACGGAAGGGTAACGCTTGCTCCCCGGGCAGCATAAAGAACGTCCTGTGGGGTTTCCACAGAGATGGCACCAGCCGCTACCCAGACTGGAAGGAAAGCGGAGGGCGGGAGGAAGGAGTGAGTGACATGGGCACAGCCACTCGCTGCCCGCAGGGCCTCTGTGGGATGCCCAGTGACACCCTCCTCCTCTGACCCCAGCTAACTCTGCAGCTGCCATGCAGCCTGGGACACCAGCCCTTCTCCTCCCAGACCGGGGTGAACATGCGCCGGGTACCTCAGTCTCCCAGTGCCTGGCCGGCAGCACCACCAAGAGGTCAAGTGCATCGGGCAGGGGCTGTGAGCTGCAGCCCCACCTCTTACCACATGTGTCAACTTTTCTCAGCCTCAATCTTCTCACCCATAAAATAGGAGCGCTTCCCAGAGGTGCTGGGAGAATTAAATGAGACGATCTGTGCAAATACCTCGCTAGGGCCAGGCACACAGAAAGCTCTTGATAAATGTTTTCTCCATCTTTTCTGTTTTGATGCTGATTTACTCATTTATTTAACAAATATTTATAGAGCACTTAAATGTTGTAAGGAATTTAATGAATAAGATTAAATTGAGGTAAAGAGGTGGGGGATTCCCAGGAGAGTTATTCTCTGTAAATTCATCAGAAGGTAAGGAAAGGAGGGGGCCACACCTGTCTCTCATCACGTGTGCTCTTGTCCCCAGGAGACCTCGCCTCCCCTCCGAAACGAGGTGGGGCTGCTTCCTCCCCTGGCTCTGGCTGGGCCGGTCCCTACAGCGTGAGTGGCGCCGTGTGGCTTCTGAGGCCGAACCAGGCTCTGCCTGGGCTTCTCGTGGTGTTCACCCTGGGCACCCAGTCAGCACTCGGAGGGGGTAAGGAAGCCTCATGGAAAAACCGAATGTAGGTGCTGGGACGCACCCCAGCTGAGGCGCCTGGGGACAGCCAACACCGACTCCCAGACCTGTGGGTGAGCACGCCCAGCTGCCTCGGGGCAGAGCTGGGCTGTACTGCAGAGCCTGCCCGTATGGATGACTTGTGAGCAAAATGCATACATACTGAATGTGCTGTAAGCCACTGAGCTTTGGGGTGGTTGGTGTAGCAGCAGCAGCAGTGGATTCCAGGCGGGGCAGAGCCAGGGCAAGGCGGGGAGACGGGGGGAGGCCTGGCCCAGGTGAGGAGCCGCGGACGGGGAGGGCGGAGGAGAGATGAGACGGGGCTGGAGGGGTCTCAGGCCGCCCTGGGCCTATGGAGCCTATATTTTGAACTCTTATTTTTTTTGGAAGTGGGTAGGAAGCCCTTGAAGGGATGTAAGCAGAGGCGATACACCTGACACACATTCTGAGCAGCTCGTTCTGGCTGAGGTGAGGTGAACAGAAAGAGGAGGGTGGGGGACAGGGTGGGAGCAGGGGAACGTGCACGAGGTCGTTTCACTGGTCCGGGAGCCAGCGGTGGCCTGGGCACATCGTGGGGGCAGGGGAGGAGGGAAGTGACCTGAGCTGGAATGTGCAGAGAATGTAGAGCTCATCAAAGGTCACGTCTGATGTGTCAGAGGGACAGAGTTGTCCAGGAGAGATGCAGGGTTTAGCTGAGCAGCTGGAAGGAAGGACTTGTCGCTTGCCAGGATGCTGAGGCTGGGGCGGGGCCATGGGCATGTGAAGTCGGAGATGAGTATCCGACACCCACGTGGGCTGCTGAGGGGGCAGCTGTGTGAGTCTGGTGTCCACGAGAGGCCGTTGACAGCAGGCGATGGGCAGGGTCACTGGGAGTGCGTGCACGGGGAAGACACATAGGACCCCAGTGTTTGGGGTCAGAGAAATGGGGAGGAACCGGCAAGGGAGGAGAACTGGCCCAGAGACAAGAGGGGAGCCGAGAGGCAGTGTCTCCACATCCTGAGAGCAGGGGGCTCGCCTCCCCCGATGCCGACCATCTGTGGGGCCAGGGAACTGGGGGCCGAGGTATGCCCGGGGTGCGGCGGCCTGGGGGGCCTCGGCACAGCAGGTTCCACGGCGCCTGGGCAGAGTGGGTTGGAGAGGAAGTGGATAGCTTTTGCCAAAAAGGGGAAAAAGAAAAGGGGCCTTGGGAGCTAACGTCTGTAAGGTCAAGAGAGGTTTGGGCTTTTAAATATATATATATTTGACAATTTGAAAAAGATTTCTGACTGTGCAGCCCTCATTTACCTCCTCTGTGGGATCTCTGCCTCCCAACTTGGGGGATGAGGCTAAAGCACCAGGTGCGACACCCAATCCGAGACTAGAAAACTGGGGAGGGGAGGGGTTCGTTTCTAGAGCCTTCCAGTGCCTCCTTTCTCTACTTCCTGGTCGGGTCTACTGGGGGCACCTCCTTCTCGGCACCCGGAACCCACCCTCCCCGCAGCAGTGGCAGCGCCCGTCCTCTCTCCTCCTGAGCGGTTTGCCCCTGCGGCCCCACAGCCTCTCCTGCTCCCCACTCCCCTCCCCGCCCTCCTTTCTCCTCCTCAGGCTGAGCTCTGCTGACATTCCTGAGCAGCATCCGTCTGACAAGCTCATTCCCCACAGGTGCCATCACGCATGTTCAGGGATGGTTAACCTTCCCAGGGATGTACCCACTGGAAAGCAGGTGCTTTCGGAAGGAATCAAAACCCGTCACTGTAGTAGTTTGTGAAGAAGAAGTTTTGAGCGCACAGCTCATCTTAGAGAAAGTGTTCGGACTCTCCCAAGTGGAGCGGATTACTGGGTCCTTGTGCCACCTGCCATCCCTGAGTCCCCGCCCCCTGGTACTTCCCTCTCACGAAAGCTTATTGCACAGTGTGGCGCAGACACTGGAGACAGACTGCCTAGGCTGGTATCCTCATGCTCACTTTTCCTAGCTGTGTGACCTTGGACAAACTTAGTTAACTTCTCTGGGCCTCAACTTCCTCAAAGATAAAAGGAGAGCAACAGCATTATCTACCTCAAAGCTGTTGTGGAGGTTGGAAGGCTGAACGTATTTACCACGCCCAGAAGCAAGGACGGGAGCAGAAGTCTGCACTCATGTCCCCACCTCTGCTACGCTGTGTTTTCTTCAAGTTCACATCCCCAGGACTCAAGAGAGCCTAAGATGTAAGAGGCGCTCAAATAAGTGCTCTTTGACAGCAAATGAATGAGAATTTAACATAAAAAAGATGGGTAGGATTTACAGCCAGAGAAACTTGGTTGAAGCTTCTATCCCACAGATTTCTGCAAGATGCAAAACGACCCAACAGAGGACCAAGGGGCCCAGAGAGGAGAAGCCAGGTCTGCAAGGTGCCCCAGGCGCACACAAACAAGGAGGTCATTTAACGTCCCTGAGGGGGTGGGGGTGGAGACCCAGCCTGAAGCCTCAAGGATTGCTTGGAAATAATCAAGGTTTGTTAAGAAGATAATAAACTGCCTCTTGAGAGCTAACCAGAAAGTCGTACATCTAAGGAGGAGGATGAAATGCTTGCTGGAGCCGCTGTGGGAGGCATACGCAGCACATCACGGGAACCCTTGGGAAACCAGCAGCAATGCCTCCACTTAGGAAAATGCATTTGCTCAGAGCAACGGCACTCTTAGTTAGGGAGGCGGTGCTGGAAGCTGAAAGGGACCCGGCTGCCCCAGGCCAAGGGGCTCTGGCGCCCACAAAGGGCTGGTCTGAGGGCAGGGGGGAGGGAAACACGCATCTTGGTTTGTCCTGCCTGCCCGGGTGGGAATGGCCCCTGCAGGCTCTCCAACGGGCATCTAGGGCAGGAGGGCTGAGAGGCAGGGGGGGCGTTAGACTCAGTGAATGTTTCTTGAACTGTTTGTTCAACATGCGTCTCCAGGAATTTATGAAATCCCATCAATCCAATGAATTTTTCCTCAGGCCAGTTCAGTGCATGGCCCCGGGAAAATGATAGGGAAAATGATCAGAGCTGTGTTCCTGCCTCACCACCTCCAGGAGCCCGCGGGGACCTCCCCGCCCTGGCTTGCCCACCGGCTCTCCCGACCTGCCTCCGGCAGTGTGTCCCAGGCACACGCGATTCACAGGCCGATGTGGGTCAGTGCATCTGGTGCTCAGGGTGTGGCTCCACCCGTCACCAGATGGCTCCCTCCTTGCAGCAGGGTCTGTGTCTCAGACTTCTCTTGAGTTGGAGAAAAAAGCTTACTGGGGAGGTGGGGCTTGAAATATGCCCCAGGGGGTTCAACTCCCTGTGTCGCACTTTGGACTATAAGGGAATGAAGCAGGATTCAGGGCTGCACGCAGGACAGTGTCCCATTTCCATGTAGCCACAGAGATAGCGCAAACTTTGAAAGAAAATACGCCACAATACAGTACTAATGACAGTTACCTCTGGATTCTGGGATTATGGTGCGACCTGGGGTTTCTTTTGTATATTTTTCCTCTAACCATTCTGCAACAAACACATGGTACTTGTGTAACCACAAAGCCATGTTGCCGCTTGTAAGTCAGGCGAGAGTGCGGAAGTGGAGAGGGGGCAGCCTACGTGTCAAGGAGCTCGCTAACAGATGGGCGAGAGCTGGCACCAGACCCGTGAGGGCTCTTGAGAAGGGTCCTGCCATCTCCTCTGGATCAAACCACGGAGAAACCTGAGCCGCTTGTAGATTACGGGGAAGGGGCTCCTAGAAAGTAAGAGAGTGAAAATAGAGAAGCCGGATGGAGTGAGACCCCAGCATGGTGGGGGCAGGAGGGCAGGAGAGGGGCAGGGCACCACCAAGGGCAGCCGTTCCCAGGTGGGTGAGCCAGGGGGTGGGGTGGGGTGGCCGGCTCTGCCCGGGGCCCTGCCCTCACCCTGCCTGCATCCCTCTGGTGACCTTGGTGACCAGTCTGAGCTTGGGTGTCTGTGTGTCGCCACGTCCTGCCCCTGCCAGGTGTTTATGGCATCCCTGATTCACCGGGGCAGGAAATGAGGAAGCAGCCGCCCAAAGGTCGCTGGGTGGCAGAGGGGAGGGAGGCACCTCAGGAAGGAGGTGGGTTCCAAGTGCGGCAGTTTGGTGGCACAGGGCAGAGAGGGCTCATCCAGGGACAGTGAGCTGGGAGGGGAGAGAAGTTCAGCGGGCAGCGAGGAGACACATGGGGCGCTGGTCTTCATCCCAGTCC